GCTTCCACTTTGTTATAATCCCACTAACAGTTGACTGTAGAATATTTAGTAGCCAGGAAATGTCACGGATGGACTTATTGCACAGGTGGCAACCTATCACGGGACCACGCTTGGAGTCACTGAGCTCCTGAGAGCGACCCATTCTTTCACCAATGTTTGTAGAAGCAGTCTGCATGTCTAGGTGATTATTTTAAACACTTGTGGCCATGGAGGTGATTGGAACACCTGAATCCAATGATTTGGAGGGCTGGCCCAATACTTTTGGCAATATGGTGTATTTTAACAGCCTTGCTGGGATGGATACAGAAAAATTAACAAGCTGAAATACTTTACTTAATCATTGCTGCTATGGCTTCCCTCCAGTGCTGATCTCCTAACCCAGCCTATCCATTTGGTCAAATGATTTAACCCAAAGGAAAGGATCGCTCTTCACAAAGCAATGCTATATAAATGTGCATTTACTGATCTGTTGCTGTTCTTCAGCCTTAAAAAAACACAGAGCAGGCATTACACAAATAAAATATTCAATATAACCATTTCTAAAACTGTAGTTTCAAATTAAACCATAATTTAAATCTGGTGAAAACCTACAACTGTATCCTCTTCAGGATACAACTTGCCGGGTCTAGTCGGGTCCTTACAAAAGCAAAAAGAGTCAGCACACAGAATTCAGATTAAAGATGGAATGCATCATGACACCAGTTTCAAATTCATTAGTGACCAAATTTTTGTTGATATGCCAGATGGTGATGGTCCTACTTGTATGCGGTAATTACCGAATTCCAGCATGCACAGACTTGCATTCTAATAGATTAATGCCCGTCACATACTTTACTTAACTAACAACTGTTCCCATATTTTAGACATTTTAATTTAAGATGACCTCTGACTGGTAAAGCGCATGGCCGGCTTGTTAATAAGTCTGAAAAAGGAAGTCTGGGTTTTTTATTTAGTTTGAAAAATTAGAATGTCACTGGAAATCCCAATTAAATCTGTGGAATAATTACAGGAAAATAACACGGATACCGAATGTAAAGTAATTCAATGTGTAAATGTACTGTGATAGTGGACCTTGAGTTACAAGCAAGCATCCACTCATTTATTTGTACCCTTTAGTGCCTAAACATGGCTGTATTATAGTTACGTTTTTTTTGCTGTGGGAAAAAAGTTGAGAAATATACCTACCTTCCCCTTGCTTCTGTATTGCAGGGGATTTCACTATCCTTCCCGTAAGATCCCTGAGTACTAATGTCAGGCTTTAACTACATTCAAAATAGACAGAAATATGCCACGCATCCTCTATTTTTAACTGCTAATTTGCAACAGTCAGAAGATAAAGATAACTAAATAATAAAAAATGGCCCTTGGTCTGTAATACAGGTCATATGTTCATTCCTCCAGGCATTCCTTGATTCATTTTCTTATACATCCATTTCTATATATTTCCAGCCTTTGCTCATTTGCTGATCGGCCTAAGCACTGCCGAGTCGAATATATATTATACGAGGTACGTATTGCCTATAAATGAGGCCTTGCCGGTAAAATTGAGCTGCACGGGTAATTATACATGAAAATCTTTAAGACAGTCATGAAGCTTTTTTCCCCCCATTAACAGATCCTGAGAAAATCCCGACACACTTTTAGATTCAGCTGTTAGAAAGATCTATAAAACTATCCAGCATTATAGATGGTGCGGAGGGTGCCGGTCCTGGAAAAACGGCGTAAAATCAGGCTGGAAGGACTGCAGAGGAATGTTAAGTAGGGAGGATGGCAATGGTGGGTGTTCAAGTATGAGGTAAGCTCTGGATATTGTTTTTATTGATTAAATCAAACATTTCACCGCGGGAAGAAAGCTGGAGCTACTTAGAGACATTCATTGTGGGTCACAGATGGACACCAACAAGAGACTCCAGCTGACAATAAACTGATCCTATGTCTTAATGTAACGGGTGAGAGTTAAAGGATAATGGCACCTTAGGCACTAAGAATTTATATATCTAAATAAATATATACACTCACCGGCCTCTTTAATAGGTACACCCGTTCAATTGCTTGGTAACACAAATTGCTAATCAGCCAATCAAGATGGTCTGGCAGCAACTCAATGCATTTAGAAATATTGACGTGGTGCAGACGACTTGCTGAAGTTCAAACCGAGCATCAGAATAGGGAAGAAAGGGAATTTAAGTGACTTTGAATGTGGCATGGTTGTTGGTGCCAGACGGGCTGGTCTAAGTATTTCAAAAACTGGGATTTTCACGCACAACCATCTCTAGGGAAATCAAGACTCATTAGACCAGGTACCGTTTTTCCAGTCTTCTATTTTCCAATTTTGGTGAGCCTGTGGGAATTGTAGCTTCCATTTCATGTTCTTAGCTGACAGGAGTGGCACCTGGTGTGGTCTTCTGCTGCTGCAGCCCATCTGCTTCAAAGCTCGACATGTTGTACACTCAGAGATGGTATTCTGCATACCTTGGGTGTAACGAGGGGTTATTTGAGTTACTGTTGCCCTTCTAACATCTGGAACCAATCTGCCCATTCTCATCTGGCCTCTGACATCAACAAGGCATTTTCATCCACTCAACTGCCACTCACTGGATATTTTCTCTTTTTTCGGGCCATTCTCTGTAAACCCTAGAGATGGTTGTGCATGAAAATCCCAGTTTTTGAAATACTCAGACCAGCCTGTCTGGCACCAAAAACCATGCCACATCCAAAGTCACTTACACTTTTTTCTCCATTCTGATGCTCAGTTTGAACTTCAGCAAGCCGTCTTCACCACGTCTAAATGCCTAAATGCATTGAGTTGCTGCCATGCGATTGGCTGATTAGCAATTTTGTGCTACCGAGCAATTGAACAGGTGTACCTGATAAAGTGGCCGGTGACTGTGTATATTTCCTCCCGTACCACTATCCCCTCCCTCCTAGATTGTAAGCTCCAAGGAGCAGGGCCCTCGAACCCCTCGTGTATCACATTGTATTGTTATTGTACTGTCTCATGTATTGTCTCCCATTGTAATGTACAGCGCTGAGCGAACTGTTGGCGCTTTTTAAATACTGTATATATATATATATATATATATATATATATATATATATATATATATGTATAATTTTGGCTCAAGCATCAGCACAGCTATTATGAATATTCCCCATAATTTGCTTAACAGGTTTGCTTCCTATGATTGGCAGCTCCATCTAGTGACCATAATGTGGTATTCTCCTGAAATAGCTCAATCAGAAAAAAAAAAAATCACTGCATTATGGCCACTAGATGGAGCTGGCGATCACAAGAACATATTAAATTGCATATTAGATATTAAATTATTAAACAGTAAAATTTAAAAAATTGTTACTAATAAAGAAATTAACAATTAATAATACAAGTGATTCAATATTAAAATATTAAATTGCAAATGACTGTGATTATTTGTGATAGCTGTGCGAATGCTAGAGACAATTGTATAGCAATTTTTTTTTTTTTTAATAAATAAACCCCCAAAGCCTAGTTTACACTTGGGGGTTTATTTACTAAAGCTGGAGAGTCCAAAATCAGACTCCCTTCTGCATAGAAACCAATCAGCTTCCAGGTTTCATGCCAGAGCTTCATTGAACAAGCTGAGGTTAGAAGCTGATTGGTTTCTATGCAGAAGGGAGTCTGATTTTGGACTCTCCAGCTTTAGTAAATAAACCCCTTGCTGTCTGGGGGTGGTAAAGACAGGTAGCCTGACCCCCTTGATCTATTGAGATGGCCGGAGAGAGATGTACACATGCCATGGTCGCAATGCTGTATCTCTTAGCCACATAAAAATGAAACCATCTGATGCATTCAGCGGGCAGTACCACTGCCAAACACGACCAGTTCAAGTAAACACAGCTATGCCTAAACTAAGTTAAATGAGCATTTTCTTAGCTAGGTGAACAGCTTACATTCCTTTAGTAAATCAACCCAACTGAATGAAGATGAGGAACGTTACATTCCATTTCTATTTTTTTCTGCACAAATATGCAGTAAGTCTTTAACTGGGCATCAATGCCTTCAAAGAACGTTAGCTCATTGGCATGCCTGTGGTCTTTGATGAGTTCTTTATAAACAGTTCCTTGGAACATATTTTCGCCTACATTGCCCTTTGGTATAACACAAATTAGTTTTCTGGATACCATCCATTATATCCACCACAGTGAACACAGCAGCGGTGTCAATTCCAAAAGCAACAAAACCAAACCAGTAAATCTGATGATATAAGAACATCGCTGAAGGCATGGAGGAGAGCAAGACAGAAGAGAACTTATCATTCCAAAGTGTGGGGACGGATCATTGGCTTTCAACATCTTAAACTTGTTGTGATGGGTTTGGAGCGTGGGAGTCTTGGTGCAAAAAGTTTGAGAGGAAAAATTTCAGCTTTATTAAATTGTACACTTGTATGTTCCAGTTTCTGATGGGTATTGGGTCTCACTATTGCTTATGATCTTTTGTGCTGCCATTATCACACTGGAAAGCTTAAAGCTGAACTCCATCCTAACCTTTAGTCTTGCACAGTTGTACGGGCTCCTCTCCTGTACTGATAATGCATACTCTGATTTCACTGCACACTGTAAGCTTCTTACAGTGTGCATTAGAATCTGCTGGACCACCTCATTTACTGGTTGGAGAACATCTAACCTCAACTAGCTCTTCCCCAGTTTTCCTGTCTAATGCCCCTCTTACTGGATTCCAGCTCATTCAATCATGGAGGCGCAGGCGTGCACACAGGGTGTGCCGTCTGTGCCTGGGCACACTCCAATCACCTACTGCACATTAGCATTATCACTCAATGGGGAGATGGGACCAGTTCTGCTATAGGTTAAGTACTTCTGCACTTCTCTTTCACTGTGATGGTGAGAAGTTCAATGCAATATACACTATATTGCCAAAAGTATAGGGCCAGCCCTCCAAATCATTGGATTCAGGTGTTCCAATCACCTCCAGAGCCACAGGTGTATAAAATCATCACCTAGGCATGCAGACTGCTTCTACAAATATTTGTGAAAGAATGAGTCGCTCTCAGGAGCTCAGTGAATTCAAAATATGGTCACGTGATAAGTTGCCACCTGTGCAATAAGTCCATCCATGAAATTTACTTGCTACTAAATATTCCACGGTCAACTGTTATAACAAAGTGGAAGCAACTGGGAACAACAGCAACTCAGCCAACAAGTGGTAGGCCACGTAAAATGACAGAGCGGGCTCAGCACATGCTGAAATGCACAGTTTGCAGAAGTTGCCAACTGTCTGCAGAGTCAATAGCTAAAGACCTCCAAACTTCATGTGGCCTTCAGATTAGCACAACAACAGAGCGTAGAGAGCTTCATAGAATGGGTTTCCATGGCACAGCAGCTGCATCCAAGCCTTACATCACCAAGTGCAATGCAAAGCATCGGATGCAGTGGTGTAAAGCACGCTGCCACTGGACTCTAGAGCAGGGCGGACGTGTTCTCTGGAGTGACCAATCACGCTTCTCTGTCTGGAAATCCAATGGACGTGTCTGGGTTGGTGGTTGCCAGGAGAACGGTACTTGCCTGACTGCATGGTGTCAAGTTTAAAGTTTGGTGGAGGGGGAATTATGGTGTGGGGTTGTTTTTCAGGGGTTGGGCTTGGCCAACCTTGGGCTCCAGTGAAGGGAACTCTTAAGGCATCAGCATACCAAGACATTTTGGACACTTTCTTACTCCCAACTCTGTGGGAAGAGTTTGGGGATGGATCCTTCCTGTTCCAACATGACTGCACACCAGTGCACAAAGCAAGGTCCATAAAGACATGGATGAGCGAGTTTGGGGTGGAGGAACTTGACTGACCTGCACAGAGTCCTGACTTCAACCCAATAGAACACCTTTGGGATGAATTAGAGCGGAGACTGCAAGCAAGGCCTTCTCATCCGACATCAGTACCTGATGTCACTCCCATCAAGACATTTTTATATTTCCACTACTTCTCCCAGGAGACAGCCTACTACTTGCATCAGGATGGAAGGCTCTTGAGAGGACTACTGAGGCAGGGTGCCAACTGTCCCAAATTTGATGGGGCAGTCATGCTTTTTTGTAAGCTATCCTATCGTGGCTGTCTTGGACTGTGCCGCGGCATCAGGGACGGCAGAGGTGGGCAGCAGCAAATATGACTTCTCACTAGAATATAGGCAGTTTATAAAAACTGGTAGTTGGGTGTAAACTCATAGCAGAGTCCATTTATGCCTGGCCACTCATATAGAAGAATGGGCTCTGTGTCATCCGCCTGCTCTGCTCTGATCAGCATGGGATCTGTGAGCTGATCCCCTGCTGATCGGAGCGGAATCAACCATGTGTGAAAGGAGCCTAATGCTTAGCTTCACCTTTGTGGTGAGAAGCATCTTTGGCCATTAGAATTCAGAATGAAGAAGGGAAGGTCGATGCTCTGAGCAAATTAGCTTGCGCTGCATACACATGAGCTAATAAAGAAGAAGAAAGGCAAGATCTAATATCATCAGCCTGCCACTCCCTCATTACCCAATCACAGATGGGGTGATAGGCAGAGACCAAGCTGTGTTGTTTAACACAGTATTGAACAGCAAGATCTCCACCCTGAATGTGTTGTCTATGGGGAAAGTATAAATCATAGGACTGGCTGGTCAAACTTACAAACCATTTGGAAGATAAAACAGCCTCCAAAATGCATTTCTACTATTTATTTAGCTATTTTCCTTACGCCCACCCTCAAACCACAAAGGCCGTTATTAGCGATATTTATCGCATATAATTCCATTCTTACTACCTGGATTAACTGGGCTACATTTTACCCTAATTGATATTTAAACATGAAATGAATTGATGGTTAAATAAGCACAATGAAGGGATTTTGAAGCCATAGTATAGCAACATATGTGAGATGCGGCAGATGGTCCTATTATATGTAGGCTAGCATGCCCACCTCCTTCCTTATCAGGGGTCCACAGCACAACAAATGACTAGTGCAATTAATCTGAGTATGTTATGTGTTTCATGCAACAACAACAGCCATATTCCAGGCTGGCAACGATCCAAATGATAAGGAGGTACAAAACAGAATATCATATGCTTGGTTATTCATAGCATTGCTACACATATATACTATTTACCATTCAAATGCTGATCATTTCCCTGCCCATTTTTCTCTTTGTGGGGGAAGGGATTTTATAGATCAAAAGATGATGAATTAATATCCCCTCTATGAGGTCCCCTTTGTCTTTTTTAAGGAGAAGAGTACCATAGTAATAAACTTAAAAATAAGAAACTTTTTTGCAAATTTTGAAAACAAATGTGCACCCTGAACTGCATATGGTAATAAAATCACCATTAATCATATCAAGTAACATGCCCTGTACAATCGGAAAGAGACTGGACTGTGCCTATAGCAGTAGCGTATGTGGAAATGAAAGACTGCACATCCGCCATTCCAAAAAAGGAGATGCAGCATCAGAAGACAAGGCTAAAGCTCATTCAGGCCACATAAGATGATAGGGGAAGTCAGACACCGATAAGTGGTTAAAATAAAAAAAAAAAAAAATAAAAATAAAACCAATGAAAGGACAAAGACCAGAAAGGGGCATCATGGATTCGTGGCTTGAAAAATGGATCTGAGATTAAAGCACCACACCAAGAATTAATTGTCCAGGTATAAATGAAGGATCCAACATGTTATGGAGGGCCTTTCATCAGGGTTAGGGTCAACACTCTTCAGGGTTCATCAGCGTTAGGCTCAACCTCCTTCACCTGGGTTAAAAAATTGTATAAGCTGGACAGAATGGAGAATAGGAAATCACGAAGTATTTATGCCGGCCATAGATGGATCGCATCTCAGCCTGTTTAGTGGGGAACTGCAGAGATTTGATCCATCTATGGGTAGACTGGTTGTACTAAAGTTGATCCATAGATCGACTTCAGTACAACCAGCCTTTTGGATTTATTGCTTGTAATTTCTGACGGAGCCTATAGCTGCCAGCAGTAATCATTGTGTTCTGCAGGCAGAACACAATAGCGCTGCGGGAGGGATTCCTCGACAATGCTGACTCATGGTTGCAGTGGTCGAGTCGTGGTGTGATGGGGGAGTGGGTGGGCTATTTGGTGGTTTCTGGGGTTGGGAGCGTGCAGATTTTGGCGGTGTTGCGGAGGTGGAGTCTGCATGGGCTGGGGGGAAGACAAGAAACTCGGTTTTGGAGAGGTTCGGTTAGGGGAAGTGGAGTGGCATCCGGTCTGATGTGTCGCTCAGTGGGTGTGTGATTCGGGCGGAGACTGAGGGGGTGAGGTGGTGGGGGGTTGAGAGGGGTTGGGCTCCGTTTCCGCCACCCCCCTCTGCCAATCCCTCCACTGGCTTCCGATTGCGCAACGGATCAAATTCAAAATCCTAACACTGACGTACAAAGCTGTCCACCATACTACCCCGAACTACATCACTGACCTAATATCCAAGTACCGCCCAGCACGCACACTCCGCTCCTCACAAGACCTCCTTCTCTCTAGTTCCCTGGTCTCCTCCTCCCATGCCCGCCTCCAGGACTTCTCCAGGGTGTCACCCATCCTCTGGAACTCCCTGCCCCAACCCATAAGATTATCACCTACTCTCCTCTCCTTTAGGCGCACCCTGAAAACCCATCTCTTCAGGGAAGCCTACCCCACCCCCTGCTAACTTGCTGACCTCCTCCACTCTTCCTACCACTCCATCCCCCACAGCTATCTCCTCCTATGCCACCATCCCCTCCCTCCTAGATTGTAAGCTCGAAAGAGCAGGGCCCTCGATCCCCTCATGTTTTGCATTGTATTGGTATTGTTCTGTCACATGTTCTGTCCTCCTTTGTAATGTACAGCGCTGAGTGAACTATTGGCGCTTTATAAATACTGCATAATAATAATAATGATACAATTTTCTTTCCTTCCACCATTATTATTATTATCTATGGCTTGCTTTGGACTGGACACGTCTACAAGCGCAGAGTCCATCAGCAGCTGATTGGAGTTGAAATGTACAGGGAAGAAAATGTCCACACATCTCTGCAAACCACAGGTAAGAAAATATAACAGCCTCAGCCTGGTCTCCAGCCAGGCCACACCCCAACACATATCACTCCGCCCTGGAGCTTTATCGTAGTGGTGGAGTGATATGCGTTAGTGGCATAGCCAGGCTGGAGCCTGGGCTGATGCTGTTACACTTTCTTACCTGTGGTTTGCAGAGATGTGTGGCTCATATGGACATTTTTTTCCTTGTACATTGCTGTCTGGAGCTGGGATGAGCTCCATCCTAGCCTACACTCACAGTGGTTGGTTTTATTGATTGGCTTTATTGATTGAGCTCTCTACAGCCTGAGTGGCATCCACAATTTTGGTTTGGGGTTACTATGGTTGGAGTTGAAGTTTATACCTGGACAATCAGTTCTTGGTATGGGAATTTAATCTCAGATCCATTCATTTACAAGCCAAGGACACTGTGGAAATCCTCTGGAGTGGATAAGGGTCCAAACCAGAATCTAGACACCTGGTCCAAGTACCAATATAAATACCTCAACCAATATGACAGCCTCTGGTTTCCAGTGCCAATTTTTCTTCTTCTCTAAGATGCTGCAGAAAATGGCTTTTGATTACATCTGCTATTCATTGGAACTAGAATGTGGCTATGGGTCAAACATAGCATCTTCTATTCTATTCTTTTCACTAAGGTATAGCTGGGCATTCACGTGCATTTCTGAATAGGCAACAACTTTTTATGAAAATGTAAACTCAAAAACTATATATATATATAGGGGGATCTGCTCAACTGATGCCATTAAACCACCAGGGAGCCACTAGCCACCAGGGAACTTATCTGTTAGACCTGGTCATTGCTTCATGTGAGTTCCCTAATATACCATTTGCTTTTCACCCAATAAAAGACATGCTTCACCATTATTACTATTTTGCCCTTGGCTCGTTATTTACGAGCCCCATCAAGGTGGAGCAATTTGGAGGAGTACAATTAGGAGTGGACGCCATTGGACCTGCCAGCGAAACCTGAGATGACCCTCGAGAGTGTTTCCCACCATTCCTGGGGGTCTTACATGGTGACCGGATGCAGTTCTGTTTGCTGACCAGGCCCTGATGTCCACCGATATACATACAACGCTCAGTTTGTATGTCTTTGTGGTAAGCGCATTAATTTACCGGATTCTTCCACAAGCCTGAATGGATTTGAAATATACTTATTACCACTGTGGCATTGCCGATCTTTCACCTTTACCTGTTTATCACATTTGGGACTATTTATGTTTGATTGATGGTTTACATTGTCTTATCAATTTACAGAGACTCTGGTTATACGGATGTTTGCTTTATTATTTAGCGCTGCATACCTTTTATTTTTGTCATTTTTTAGGTGTTGAGGATTGCCTTGTGTGCTAGCTGCTAGTCTGAGATTGCGCTCACTCACCCTATTTTAGTTT